TATATAATGAAAAAACCTAAGGGCTAATATATTAAATATGAAGTTACATATAGGTTTGTATGGGTGGGCCTAAACACCCAACCCACACGGTACAACACACCAAAAAATGTAAAAGATGGGTACATATAGAAATAAAAGAAACCTAAAAATCACTCGGGCGCTGAAAAAGTGCGGGTCATCCCAATCTAGTCTTGCCTCTGGCTCTAGTTCTCGGTAGGGATCCAACTAGCAGATTGGTAAGGTGCTTACCATTACCCGTAGTAACCAAAGTATCATCAATAAGACTTCTGAGCTCTAGTAAATCTCCATTCTTCTTCTTCCTCCTAGAAGTGTAAACCCGTCATTCCTCCTCCGAAGAATCCGCCTGATGGGGTAGAGCTGAAGCAGAAGGATTTCCAACAATAATACTCACAATAGATTCTACAATATGTGAAGTACGAGTTGCCGTTACACCGGATACTTCTTGAAGAAGTGGAGCTGTGAGGCTCTCCTAATTAGGTGCCAGCTTCACATTACTCGTAGTAACATTAACAACAGTGTCATGACGGGGTTCTCAGGTGCAACAGACACCTCCTGTCTGGTGGTATCCTCCTCAGGTGGAACTAAAATGTCCACAGCAGTGAGGTTAGACCCATCCTTGTTCACTTGAACTTTAGATTTCAAATTATGATGAAATTTGTAGCATTTAACAAGGATATGACCAAACATCTTACAGTGGGTACAATATGGGGGTTTGTGTTCCATGACGATTTGTTGCCAATACCCATTATGGGTTGTGCCCAACCAGACTTCAGTAACATCAGGTAAAATATTATCCTTTTCCACAAGTATTCTGGCCACCGATGGTCTGGTTAGGTTGAAAGTAGGCATATCTAGTTTCAAAGGATCCCTAAGGATGACTCCAATAGAGTAGAGAACCTGATGGTGAAAAAAATGCAGCTTGAGACCAGGTAAACTAAACCATACCGGTACAGTAGGAGTTTCATTATTTGGGTCAAAATTAGGAGATCACTTGAGTAACTTCATTGATTTGCTTTCGATATTAAGATATTTCTTGGAGAAAATTTTGGGGTAGTCTTCAGCCACTGTTAGTTGGATCAGCACATGTCTCCTATCAACGAGTCCCAATTTCCACTTGCCTACTTGCTTAAAATCATCAACACTCTTCCTGATAATATCCATAGGAGGATGTCCCCACTGAAATTTTCCAATAAGAGCAAACTTGAATTTTTCCGTCAGGGTAGAAATTTCTGATTTAGAGAAAAAGATTGTTGTTTTTCCACCTTTCCTATTTCCATTCTTAATAAAAAGGACAATCATATGTGCCCTCACGAGATTTCTTATAACTTGAGGGAAATCCCACTGCGGACTCCACCTAAGGGTTACCCACCACGTGGGCAAAAGAGACTTTATCCGGCTCAACCAAATAAGGAGGCGCCATCAGAGTAAGGAGAGCAGTCGGCTTTGAGCTACAGCGAAGTTCGGCAGGAACTGTGAACTCTGTCGCGGGAGCCGACGAAGACGATGAACGCGTCGAGCTGAGAAGCGAACACGCCGAGCGGAGAAGCGAACACGCCGAGCGGAGAAGCAAACGCGTCGAGCGGCTCTGTCAGAAGACGATGGGCGGCTCTGTCATTGTCAGAATGGAACGCGAATAGCGGCTCTATCAGAGCGAACACATCGAGCAGACGCGAACGCGTCGTCGTCACGCAGACTAGCGCGAGCCGACGAAGAGCGCGGGCTGGCGAAGGCGGAAGCTTGGAGCGTTAGAATCAATGGCGATCGCCAGCAGAGTAGTCGTCAGCTCCTCGACCATCCCTAGGTGTGCTAAATATTTGAGTACCATACCCTACACACGAGGGGATTCGAACCCGTGTTCTGAGGGGACTTACGACCTTCAGAGAGGCTGCTCTACCAACAAGCCACGGTATGCACACACACAAAAATAATTAAATGAAGTGGTTTGAATACTTCTGGATTTAGTGATTGAATAAACACAAAAAGGCCCCCTAGGGCGAGAATTGAAGGCAGTGGGATGTGATTCAAGATAATGGAAAAAGAGAGCTGTAGGTGGTAGAGTGGTTTAACGATAGAGAGGGGAGGTTGTTTTGGCGGCTAAACAACAAATGCGCCAACAACAAATAGTAACTGGGTTGGTAGGATCAGAAGCAAGTAGTGGGTCTGTGGGAGGGTGCACTAGCAAGCAACTGGTTACTGGATGGTGCAACAACAAGTAGGGGAACATAGGAGAGGGACAAAAACAAAGAGAAAATCGCCACCTGCCCTCGGATACAGTCAAAAAATCACCTGCCATCGGATACAACCCTGGCAAGGGATAAAGATGTTGACGATAGAAAATGAAAAGAAAAAACTGACCGTAAACACAGAAAACAACATATAAATACTACTAGGGTAGCTAAGGGTGGGTTCGTCTCAATTAGGCGACAATTCCAGTGAAGGAATGATCGTGCGGTTCCCTCCTCCCGAAGGATGAATTGGTTCATGTAAAGCTGCGCCCAGTTCGATAGCTGGAGGCTTCCACGTCTTGTGTGGGAGGTGCTCTTTTGTCAGTATCTCAGGTTTAGGTGAGCTTCGACTTCATTTTTCGCACTCTAGGCTTCTGGTTCCTCGTAGTACGGTGTCAAACTTGCTAGGTTGTAAGTAACATAAATGTTGTAGTCCGCTGGTAGGCCGATTATGTAGTTTGCAATTCATTCTTTTGAGAATACTGAAAGGTCTATCTTACTTAGGCTTGAGCTTCCTGAGGGATCCCACCTGAAACAACACTATACACAAGTTGATAGCTGAAGTTCTGGTCAACCACCTCAAGCGAACGTTGCCTTCTTTTATCTCTGCCAAATAAGGTGCGCTCTCCCCACATCGATCCATCTTCGACCATTGCCTCGTTGCTCAAGAAATTATCAACAAATTGCAACACTCCACAACTAAAACCGCCTTTTGGCAATCAAGATTGACATGGAACAAGCTTATGAAAAAAATGGATTGCAAGACCCTCAAAAGGTACTTGATAAGACACACTTTGAACTTATTAAGCCATTTTTATCAATCTCCATGAATATTGCTTGGAACTTACTAAGGCACACTTGGAGAAAACTATTATGGCACTTGTCTATGAAGCCAGAGTCCAAAACTCCAACACCAATCTTATTTGGATTAAAAAGCTGAAATTACACCTAATGGAAGAAATGTTTTGGTGGCTTATGTGTCATGATGCCATCCCCTCCTGGGTTTGGCTTGCTTGAAGAGGCCTTACAGATTTTATTTCATGCCTTTGGGATGTTTGGAGGTGGAGGACCGAGACTCTCTTTCTACTATTTATTTTCTCTTTTGCAAGATAAGAGACATTTTAGCAAGTTGGGGTATCACGGTACCCACTTTTAGCAACTTCCAAGAGGCTATGGACAAACATAGCAAGACACTTCATAACAACATTCCACTAGTCTACTGTTTCTGTTATATTGTCCACCACTGTTGGAGAGTCCGCAACGCCAAGCACAACCAACCGCAAAATAGTATGATTTTTTAATTCCTTAAATTTGAAATTATCATTAATTTTAAACATATAATAAAAGTATAAATCTGCCCTTAAAATGCTAAAATCAATTTAGGTGAAAGTGACTTTTTTTATCTTTACAGAAATTTATGAGCTCCTTATTTATTATATGTTAGAGATATGATTAAGATTGTATATTATTTGAGTGGATAAATGGGCATGATTTTTTTTTTGGGCAGTGTCGAGTGCCTTTTTAATGGTAGCATAGATCTGAAGTGGTTGGATACATATTGATCTACTTTTACTGGTAACCAATGTTTCTACAGTTGTCAATTGACACGCTTGCTGAACTATAAACATTCAATTCAGGATTTACGAACTGGATTTGCAGATTAATGTCCATGTTTCCTCTGCCAGCACTCTCATTTTTGACAAATGGAACTGGTTCGAAGGTCAATCAAACAATAAAGAGAAGGATGACTTTAAAATGGTACGCATGTCTTCATTGAATAACTCTTTGAAGTTGAGGCTGTTATGAATTCGGCTTCGAAAAGATTTAATGTTTTGTTATGTAATTTATATTGATTTGTGAGGTTTTAAGCTAGATGAAATTTTCACAACGCACGTATAGTAGCAGGATATCGAACGCTCATTACTCACTGGATTATGATGCAACTATGATGAATATTTAAATGTTATTTAGAAGAAACTACTTGGAGATTCTTTTGCAAACATCATGCTTTAACCTGCTATACCTTGTATACTGATTGGAGATAGAATATAAACGGGTAGCATCTGCAAAAGTAAATATGGAAGCGCATCAAGCTTATTTTAGGTAATGCAAATCAAATCAACTGCATCATCATCTTCAGCTACTTATTTTATGATTTTGGTTCATCTTCAACAGGATTTTTTTTTTCCAGTTCGTTTTTTTCACATGATGAAATTAGAAAAAAATGGCTAGCTGATACCAGAGTTTAACTAAACAACAGGAAAAAAATATATTATTGCGGAATTCAAATAGGGAATTACAAACACACAAATATAAATAGGAAATAACAACAACACGACACGCAAACTCATACTAGGGGGTCAATTCAGGGGTGTTGGTGGTCGGTTACGAGGGTTTGAAGTGCGGTAAGGGGCTGGAATGATGATAAGGATGCTGGTGGGCGGCAGTAGCAACAAGAAGGAGGTTTTGGGGCTATGGGTTAGGAGTGGGAGCAAGTGCGGAGCGGCTGGATAGCAGATAGGCAGGTTAAATAACAGCAGTTTGCTGTTTGGGGCGGCACCAAGGTGGAATGTAGGTTCTGGAAGGTAGTAGTAGAGTGGACGGCTGGTTTTGGAAGTTGGGAACAGTAGCTAGGCTTCTGGGAGGCGGTTCGGGGTGGCTGGAACTGTAGCTAGGTGGTAGGGAGGCGACTCTAGTGGCTGAAATAACAAGAAGGCGGCAAGGGGATGGTTGGTGGGTGCAGTAAACTACGAAGGAAGTCGTCTTATGGGTGATTGCAGTAAGGAAGGCAACGACGACAACGAAGGAAGGATAGATGAGGATAATCACCACCGTGGGAATGAGATATAACTGGAGCACCACTTGACCAACTACCTAGAAAGGAAAACCTGAGATTTCGACAACTGTCCCGACCAAACACACAACAAAATTAATCCTCAGACATAACAAAAATAAATATATAATCATACGATAACTAGGAGTGACCCAAGAGAACCGGCTGACTGCTCAGAAGGCCAGGAGCGGTTCGGTCCAGGCACCAGTCGTGACTTCTTTGTTGTCCAACATTGTTGGTGGGATGCTCACGTCAGTCTCCCAGAGTTGGGTGAGCTTCGATCTCATCTATCGAAGCTTCTAACTCCATGTAATATGGTGTCAGGTCGGACGTATTGAAGGCAACGAAAATGTTGTAATCTCTGGTTCTGAGCTTCCCAAAAGATCCCACTACTAAGTATGTGCTATCATCTACCCGAGATACCTTTGCATAATATATGTAATTATAAAACATATCTTAATAGAATAAGTGGCTATCCTATTTTGACACAACCAGCTCTGAAATTGTACTTAGATGAGTCTTCTTGTGAACCAAGTTTCGAGCCATTAAATCTGTAACCTATTTCTCCCACTCATGTTCAACTGAGTGTATCTGTATTAATTTTGCAAGGAGGAATCAACTCTGGAATGAAATTTAGGTTGACAACCACTCAAGATTGGTCTCTTCTTCTCTGGAAAAACTTAGATCCCACTATCAGACATTCTTTCTCCCAAAATACTTAAGGAAGATTTCAAAGTTGCAGTTCACCATGTTGTTCAGGTCATCTAATTGTGGGGGCGCTGTTGAACCAAATTGAATTTTAATACCCTTATTACTCTATATAGCCTTCTAGAAGTAGCTCAAAATCTATTAATCTTTGATATATTAGATTTCTCTTATCAGTGACAACTTAAAAGGTAAACTGTAGGTCTGAAAATATTGAAATTCTCTTATTTGGAGTTGTCATGTGTCTGATGTCAGTTGTTCAAATTTATTGCTCTCTTTCACAACCAATTTCAATCCCGCTGATGTTTCTCTTATTGCCCACAAAAAGGTAGTTCATGGCATCATGTCGACAAACTCTACATGAACACTCATTACCTCGTACTCACTACCTTCTATAACAACTAATGTTAATCATGATAGAGTATCTTTTATGGGCTCCACTTGAATCACTGACATCTATTCCTCATCAGCTGAAAGTTGAGACACCTCTTTGAAGGCTTCATCCTCTTCTGTGTTAGTGTTTCTTTTCTCAACTACTTGTTCAGTGAAAGAGGTTGCTCTCATAGTTGTGTAATCAGACGTCACGTGGCCAAAATCGTGACACTTGAAGCATTTTATGACAAGGATGAATTTAGGAGTTCTTGTGGTCTTTGCTATGTACGAGCTCCTTCTCTGGCTGAGTCGACATAGGCGCTCCACTAGGTTCACTTTTAATGCTTGGTTACTTGTAAGATGAGGCAGTCGCCTGACAATGTTGATGTAACTGGTGAAGTCCCAAGAACATACCTCATCTCTAATTTGAATGTTAGTACTTGCGCTGCATCTCACTTTTCACCTTCAGTCAGGTAGTGATTTTCTCTTTTCCCTTCATGCTGGCGTAGTTGTTTCAAAATTTTCCGCAACGACAGTGCACACTTTAACTTGATGGCTGCTAGCTTTACCATTATGTTCGGTAGAACATTCTGGTATCGGAGGCACTCGATGAATTCTTTCCCACCTTTACTTCCAGATTTTGACTCTCCTCTGATATAATTCTTTCATATCTCTATGACCGTCAAAATTTGTTAAATCCACCTTTACTTCCAGATTTTGACTCTCCTCTGATTATTCATGCCAAATCTTTGGGCAGTGGTTCTTCATTATTTTGATTTGACAAATCACTATTCTAGATACGATTGACCTTCCAAATTCTCTCATCTCGAAGACGTCAAACCTTTGTTGCAGTTGGATGATTTCTCACTAGAAAATGTTCATAGAAAGTTCCTAGACATCTCTTTGCGGATTTCTCATAAGCGACGTTGTGTCCTTTCCTTCCGATCAAGTTTTCAACAACTTTGCCTTGCAAGGATGGCTAAGACTTAGTTTTGAAGAGGTGGAACAGATTGTATGAGTGTGATTTCGGGTGGGGAATTAAATTTTGTGTGGCTGATTTGAAAAATCAGGAAGGGGAAAGCTTTTTGGTTATATTTTTGGTTAGATAGTGGTGGATTTTGGTAACCGTTGGGTAGGACTAGGGTTAAACTAGCTCTGATATCAAATGATACTGGAGTTTAATCAAACAAGGGAAAAACTTGATAATTTTTACCGAATTTAAAAAAGGAACTACAACCACAAACAATAAGAAATGGAAACAACACGACACACAAACTAACACTAGGGGGTCAATCTAGAGATGGTGGTGGTCGGTTATGAGGGAAGGAAGGGCGGTAAGGGGCTTGAATGATTGTAGGGGCGCTGATAGGCGGCAGTAGCAACAACAACGGGGTTTTTGGGTCAGCGGTTTAGGAGAGGTAGCAAGTGCGGAGCGTCTGGACAACAGGTAAGCAGGTCAAAACAGCTGCAGTTTGCTGTGTGGGGCAACAGCAAGGTGGAACACATGTTCTAAAAGGTAGTAGCAAGGTGGACGATTGGTTCTGGAAGGTGAGAACAACAACTAGGCTGCGGGGAGTGACGCAGGTGCTAAGTCAGCGTCTGATTGTGGGGGCTTCAGAGTGCAGGGCAGAAGCCCTGCAAAGCTTCGCGAGAGCAGGAACCGACGCAAAATTATGATAACGGGAGAACCCGTGCGAGAAAAGGGGAGGCGAGTTGTGAACTCAAGCGATCTAGAGGGGACTGTTTCACAACAGCTCTTTCTGGGAAGAGTTTTATGGGCTCCTCTCGTCTTTTCCACCCGTTTGTGAAAGCTTCCCTTGTTTCGGGGGAGCCTATAAATTGTCGTCCCATGTGTGTGGAGAGTCAGTTCTGGTGGAGTTTTCTGCTGTTCTGTTGTGTGGAGTTCCTTTCTCCTTTAAGGAAAATATCCGAGGAGCTGGTGGTGCTCTGACTATATCTTCTCCGAGGTGGTGATTGTATCCTCCCTTTCTTTATTCTCCAAACCCTCTCTTCTCCACTCCTTAGCTATCGAGCTCTCTCTCCATCACCTCGACACCCAACCATTCCCCCTTCGTGCAGATTGTTACTGCTGTCCCGTCTACCTAACTCCTTTCAGGCTCCTCTCAACTACTCCACTACCATTGCTGACCACCTACAACCCTTTCCTGCTTGTTGTTCATATAGTTCCACACTTTCTCTTCATTACCTTCCGTCTTCCGTGATTCCCATCATTCCTCCCAAATCATCTTGATCCCTCTAGCCGACCTCCACAACCCATCGGGATACATTAGAAGTGTTTGTTGGTGTCGTTTTATATTTTGTATTGTTATTTATGTTTTAGTCATATTGTAACCCTATTTTAATGTTAATGAAAGCTTGTGTTTGTATTTTCCACTTTTTTTGCTACTAGTTCCGGTATCATTTGATATTAGAGCTAGTCCAATCCTAATCTCATCTCATGATTTTTTAGCATCCTCCTACCCAAGCCACCTCCACTGAATTTTTCCTTTCTAAATCCAGCCTTAGCCATGCCACTACAAAGAGGTACATCAAACTCGAATTGGGAAGTGATTCTACGAGAAATCCATCGTCTGCAAAGAAACTAGCAGAACATGAAGAGATTACCTTCGATCGTGATCGAGGAGTCTTAGGGAAGACAGAGACGAGGAGAATCTGTTCGACACAGAAGATCACATCGACGAGGAATATCGACCACGCCATTCTGGTATCCAATATCAAAGGAGGTTGAGCAAAAAAGCCTCTTATTTAGGTCAGCGAGACTTTGACATCAAAATAAACGTCCCAAAATCTGATGGAAGTATGGACCCTGATGAGTTTATCGACTGGCTATAATCAGTTGAAGTGATTTCCGAATATGAAGATGTACTAGAAAACAAACGAGACAATCTAGTTGCCATTAAACTAAAGACAAAAGCCTCATTATGGTGGGAAAATTTATAAAAGTAGAGGAAAAGAGAACGTAGTGAGAAGATAACTAAGTGGGAAATGATGAAGAAAGCTATGTAGAAAAAGTGCCTCCCACTCTACTATCGCTGAGAAATATTTTTGAAACTCCACAATCTGCAGCAGAGGGTTCTTTTTGTTGAGGAATTCACAGCACAATTCAATCATTTGCAGCTGAAATGCAAACCGACGGAGCCAGAGGAACATACCATAGCCAGATATCTTGAGGGTCTGAAACATGTAATCAGCAATGTGGTACAATTGCAACCATACTTGATGCTAGGGGATGTCCAGGCATTAGCTTTGAAGGTAGAAAGATAACAGAAGTAGAGCAGACAACAATCATCTTTGAAGCAACAATCTTTAGGTAGGGTGTCACCTAGAATCACCACGATCGACGGAGATATCCCGAAAGACACTGGCAAGCACGGACAAGGGAATGACACTACGGAACAAAGCAGGAAGAAATAGGAGAAGGGTTGCCCCTCCAACATGGTACCAACTAGAATGTGTTACCGATGCCACGACTATGACCACATAGCCTTTAGTTGTCCCACGAGCAGGATAGTCACACTCATAGATCAAGGCGCCGTGGAAGAAATGAGTGGCGAGGAGAAAGCTGAGGAATAGGGTGAGGTGTATTAACGCCAGTCAGAAGAAGGAGATGCGCTTGTGATTCGACGAATCCTGCAAACCGAGGACACAAGGGATTTGCAGTTGTTTTGCCACAATATATTCTACACCCGCTGCACGGTGAACGTAAAGGTATGCAGTTTCATCATCGACGACTGAAGTAGCAAGAACTTGGCATCGCCACATATGGTAAAGAAATTAGGACTCACAACTTAGAGATATTCCTAACCATATTTACTGACGTAGCTGAAGAAGGAGATCAAGTCAGTGTCAACTGAGAATGCTTGGTAGATTTTTCGATCAGAGGCGAGCTGCATGACTAGGTTTGGTGACATGGTCCCTATAAATGCCTACCACCTTATGTTGGGATTTAATAATGGTGTCCTCTTCGAGGTGGTGATTGTATCCTTTCTTTCTACCTTCCCCAAACTCTCTCCGCTCCACTCCTCAGCCGCCGAACTCTTCCTCCATCACTTCGACACTCAACCATTACCTAACTTCTTTCAAGCTCCTCTCAACTACCCCACTACCGTTGCCGACCAACTACAACTTTTTCCTACTTACTGTTCCTACAATTCCGAACCTTCCCTTCGCTACCACTCACCTTCCGTGACTGCCGACCTCCACCACCCATTGGGATACATTAAGAGTGTTTGCTGGAGTCATTTTATGTTTTGCATTGCTATATCCATTCGAGTCATGTTGTAACCCTACTTTAATATTAATGAAAGTTTGTGTTTATATTTTCCACTATTTTTTTTACTAGTTCGAGTATCAGGGCGGGTGTTAATGGTGGCCCGAGCAACAGCTAGGTGGGAGGGAGGCGATTCCGGTGGCTGAAACAACAGTAAAGCTACATTGGGGATGGTTGGCGGCTGCAAGAAACAACAAAGGAAGCTTTCTTCGGAGTGGCTGTAGCAGGCAAGACAACGACGACAATGAAGGAAGGGATGCGGACGAAGGGTAGATGAGGATAATCACCACCTCTGGGGTGAGATACAACTAGAACATTACTCAACACTTGGATACAACCCTAGAAGAGAAAACCTGAGATGCCGGTGGTTGTCCAAAGCAAAAACGACTAAGGCATCACTAAATTGAATATATAATAATAGGATAACTAGTAGTGGCACAAGAGGACCGTCTGACTCCTCAAAAGGTCTGAACCTCTTTGATCCAGGCCCCAAACACAACTCCTGCGTTGTTCAGTGTCGCGGGTGGATGCCCACCTCACTAATTGTAGTGTGTTGTTAAGGGATAGCTTCTTGGCAGAATCAGGTCAAGGTTTTTATTCTTGACATTGTAAATATACATTCGCTTCGGGGCTGAAGAGGGTAGGATATTAATGGATTCACAGAAGATATTTTTCATTTACTCTTTTGGTCCTAGCATAAACATATGGCATCTCAGTTAAATCTAGTTTGTTCTGATTTTTTGTGCTAATACACTAATCATAATTTTACTCCTTGAGATAAATTCGTACAATCAAATTTATAAATGAATCAGATGATGGTTACTAAGGAATTGCCCTCATAAGATGAGGGTATATGAAAATTTTCTTTCTATAAAAATGTTCAAATTACATCTATTTCTCTTGTTTAGTTTGATCTTGAGATTTTATCTGAACTTTACTGAAATGATTTTTATCTTACATACTTTTGCAAACTTAGTTCAAATGTATGTGAAGAATTACCAAAGATGTTTGTTCGTAGATTATTTTTCTCCCAAGTTATCTTTTAATTTTATCTGAATTTTGTAATATTTAAGTTCTTTAATTTTCTTAGGTGTACGTAAATGCTGAAACTCTCCAAAAAATGCACCCAACGGGAAGATTTTCATCATTGGTAATTTTTTAGCAGACTTGCTTCCTACTATTTCATTTTATGGATTTCCTAGTCAAATTTCTACTGTTGCACACTTGAAATACCTTTGTCAAACATCTTTTTCTGTGTTGTGAATTGCATGTAATATCTAACACTAAATAATTGTTGTCTATGAATTACGATTTTACTTTGTATTGTGTCGGTTTACTAACTGGTGTCTTTTCCACTGCAGGAAGAGCTTACAATTACGGACAAATATTATTTTAGGTATTCAACAACGGTCATCTTCAGCAAGAGCATGGTATGCGGTTACATAAATGATTTGCTAGAATTACAAGAAAAAAACAGTTTTTGTCTTCACTTTTTTTTTAAAGTTCAAAGTCATTTAGGTGATACTATTCATATTAATAATAATAATTTCCATGCTCAATAATTGTATTCACTGAACTAAAAATAGAGCTCTTTTTGTACTTGTACATTTTGAAATGTTGTCAGGGTTGATCTCTGACGACTTAATGATATGTTGGTCAGAATCCCATTTGTCTCACACTTTTTTTAAATAATATTGGTGTGATAATATTTTTTATTTTTTATGATAGGATTTTATATATTATGAGTGTCATGCTATTCATCAAATTTATTTGCTGAGCTGATTTTTGTCTTTTAATTTCTTTTTTTTTTAAATTTACTGACAGTTTAAACCTCCTTGTGGGACAATTAAAATAAAGGATTGCAAGAATATCAATCTCTTATGGGCATCACTCATAGTCGAAGAACTTGTACGGCTTGGTTTGACGGTGGGTTTCTGAATGCAGTTTATAAATTGAATATGAACTTATTTTAACAACTGGTTTTGTTTAGTACTTCTGTATAGCTCCAGGTTCAAGATCATCGCCACTTGCACTTTCTGCTTGTGGCCATTCCCTTACTACTTGCATATCTTGTTATGATGAGCGTTCACTTGCATTTCATGCTCTTGGGTATGCAAGAGGATCACACCAGCCTGCAGTCATCATAACAACATCCGGAACTGCCGTGTCAAATCTCCTTCCTGCGGTGAGAACATTTTTTGAATCATGCTTTGTCAAATTTTCTTATGAGCTTGGAATCTTAAACTACTCAGATGCGTCACTCCTATTTTCCTTGTGCGTGAATTGTAATGTGAAGTTGTGTACTTGGCTGACTTTTTATAACTTGATCAGACGTTTGGAAGTAGAGTCGTTTCGAAGTCGACTGGTTCTCTCGCTCATTTATTTCTGTTTTAAAATTATGTGATAGTTATTTTCTTTGTTTTTTTTTCTCTATAAAGTTGATAGAAATTTATCAATATTTGAATGTAACCCATGCTTCATTAGAAATAAAAGTTATTTGTTAATGTCCGCCTGCCAGCTTGATAAAATTTTAAGATGATTTCATTTATAAGGTTTTTATTTTTTATGCAGGTTGTGGAAGCTAGTCAGGATTTTGTGCCTCTCCTCATGCTCACAGCTGATAGGCCTCCTGAGCTACAGAATGTTGGCGCAAACCAAGCTATTGATCAGGTGTTGTATTTATACCATGTTTTTTATTTTTCTCTGTTGTTTTTGAGCTTGTAAGTGTTTTGGATGTTTATATAGCATTCTCTTACATTTTGGATAATCAATTAATTATAATATGCGCCAGAAGAAACTGATTGGAATTTAAGACACCTACTTACAGTATAATATAACTTGAAGTTAGAAACAAACATTCTTTTGCAAAATCTTTAACATTGCTTCTCTTGCAAAGGAAAGAAATGCTGTCTTGTACTTGACAGCCTTTCTGCTGGGCTATTTTCAGGTTGAATTAGCAAAATTATGATGTTAAGTGTGTCCTGAAGCTTTATTTGCTATTTTTAGATCCAAATTTAATTTCTATCCTCTGCCAGTTTATTGTTTCAGTTGCTGATTTCATTCATGGGATAGACCGCTCACTTTTTTATAGGTCAATCATTTTGGAAAATTTGTGAGGTTCTTCTACAACTTTCCACCACCTACGGATGAAATCCCTGCAAGGATGGTGCTGACAACCATTGATTCTGCCATATACAGTGCAACCCAGTCCTTATGCGGCCCAGTACATATCAACTGTCCTTTCAGGGAGCCCCTGGAAGATGTTCCTAAAGAATGGGCTGTAGATTGTTTGAGAGGACTAGATTTATGGATGTCAAAGGAAGAACCTTTTACACAATACATAAAAATTCAACATGCTTGGGGTCATTGTTATGAGCAGATTGTCAAGGTTCAAGATGTGATTTACAATGCTAACCATGGTCTTTTGCTGCTTGGTGCTATTCACACCGATGATGAAATTTGGGCTGCACTTCTTTTAGCTAAGCACCTATCCTGGCCAATTGTTCCTGATGTTCTCTCAGGTCTACGGTTGCGCAAACTACTGACTTTATGGCAGGATATTGAAGATGACTTTATATTTCTTGATCATTTCGATCATGTTCTTCTTTCAGAAACTGTCAAGAGCTGGTTACAGCCAGATGCCGTGGTTCAGGTGTAATTTCATTAAGCTCTCAACAATTTTTTTTTTAAACAATTGATTGTTAAGCTGTCGCTCCTTCAATAACATATGTATTAAATATAAACATATGAGGACATATACCTTTCCTTCAATTTTAGCCGGCCCATGCTTTTTTTGTTGCATTATATTGAAGAAGGTAAATATCCGCATAGTGTGTGTTTCGACTTAGAAATTCTTTAACAATTACGGCATGTTCGGATCTCCAGGACCAGGGGTAAGTAACATTTTACATTTCTAATGGCTGGAAATTTATGTAGCCATCTGTGTAATTTCTAAATGCAGAAAATTTATGTAGCCATGTGTGTGTGTGTGTGACATGGATGTAGTTGGCTGTATTTATTGTAATTGATGAATTGTACAGATGGTTTAAGGAAACATGCATGTGCACATACATAGATTTATAAGGAAGCATGCATGTAGCTGCTAACTTAAGAATTTTCATATATATAACTTACCTCGTGAGTTCTCATACTGAGGGAAGTCCAATATATCAGAGATGAGAAGCTTTTGAGCTAGTTATGGAAGACCATATCGAGTCATTTGGGTATGATCGAGTCATTTGGGTATTAAACTCAATTTGGCAGTGTACCCACTGATAGGAGGGATGACCCTCAGTGTTGGAAATCGCATTAGGAGCTTTGTGGGAAAGAACATCCTCCTATGAGATCCTGGACCTTTAAGAGAACAGGAAGAGGCCTCTCCCGACTTGTTTCTATTGAGAGTTGCCCAACCTGCCACAAATTTGAATCCAGAGTTAGTTCATCAAAATGAATTTGTTTATCTGATGCACCTTGCCGAGTGTGGGGAGCGAAAGAGGCAAATTACAGATTTAATGGTTCGAGAGTTACTTTATGAAAATCTACGTCAAAATGCAGCTTCAGCTTAGGTTGTGTCAAAAGAGAATGAATATTTATTCCGTCATGATGTGCTTTAGAATAATAACAACTACAAGATTGAGTTACAGGAAAGTTACAATAGCTACACCACTTTCAATTTGGCTGACCTAATATTATATTATGAGGAGCTAGAAGCTTCCACAAATGAGGTCGAAGATCCCTCAACCTCGTGAGACTAATGCGGGCACGAAAGATGGACCTGGGATCGCGTCCCCGCATGAGGGCGCAACAATTGGTGCGCTTGAACTGGTTCGGTCTTAGCACAGGAAGGACTGGCCAACCCTCTCAGGTATGTACTTGCCATCTATTGAGAATGTGGTCTACTCCTAGTTATCCTATTGCTATATATTTGTATTCGTGTTGTTTTAGGTTTGTTTTTTTTTTGTGTTGTTTGAGATATCCACCGACGTCTCTAGTTTTCGCATCAAGGGTTGTATCGAAGGGTTGAGTGGTATCACGGCTGTATTTTGCTCCCGAGGTAGTGATTTTTCTTCCCCCTGCCCTTACCATCATTCCACAGCACTTCCTATTGCCCATCCCTGCTGCAGCTGCCCAAAACAGCTGCCTGTGGATGTTTTTCTGGCAGTTTTTCCACTGTCCAAGCCTCCATCTTCGCTGTCGCTACTGTCTAGCTCTCCACCTTCGATGCCGCTGCCGTTCGAGTCCTCCATCTTTGCTGTTGTTGGTGTTCCTGCCTTTTCGCTTGCTGATGCCACCTAGAAACCCCTCTAACCGCTGTTTTCCATGCAGCCAACCCACTTACCTCCACGTTGCCATCTAGGACAGCAAGTACCAGCTATTTCCCTGCTATACCCGCCCCCTTTGTTCCACATCCATACCTTACCACCACCTTTTCCAAGTCTCTAATAGCCATCGACACCACCCTAGATTTACCCTAGTTGTGTGTCGTGTGTTGTGTTTGTACTTATTTCCCATTTCAGTGTATTTGGTTGTAACCTCTTGTTTGTTTTCAGTAATAATATTTGTTTCCCATCATTGTTGGTTAACTCCGGTATCACTTTGTGCCTAAGTGCATGAGAATCAATGGTGTATTTTCATTGACTGCTATTAGTGCAAACATGATGGACTTTATTTTTCGTAGACTAAATTTTAAAATAGTCCTTTGACTTTGCTAATCTAATCTTAGAGTATTATATATATATTTTTAATTTGAGTCTCTCAATTATACAAAATCGATCCAATATTATCTTTCATATAGAAATTAAGATCCAATTTTGTTTCTAATTTAGTACAAAAATTAATCCCAAATTAGTTTTTGAGGGATCATTTTCATATTATCAAAGGATAAAGTTGGAGAAATGTAATATTGTAAGATTAAATTAGTTATATACAAATAGTCTGAGGGGCTATTTTTTAATTCAACCAATTTTTTTCTTTAGAACATTAGAATTAAAAAAAATGATGTAAGTACATCTTGGAAGCTTATCAAGGATTTCTATGAGAAAAATAAATATACACAAGCATAGAAACGATAGCATGATGGCCAAATATGAAGCATCCTATTGATCATGAAAATTATAAAGTACTTATTTGGAACTTGGTGAATAGAGCTAGCAGCGATGGACTTTTTCTTTTGAATTTTGTTTTTCTGGTAAATTGGATTTGAAATCTTCAGTCTAATATAATATTGATTTTCTGAATGCTATAATCTGAATAAAAGACTACTAAGAATCATAATGATTTCACCTCAACGAATTTTTTATCAATGTTATATTTCTCCAATTGACTTGCATTCACCTGACCTAATATTTTTTGAAACTCTATATTATGTGGTAATGCATCTCGTATCATGTGCTTCAAAATTGGCTAAATTAACATCTGATTTAACCATGTAATTTTTTTTTTCATTTGGTGCAGCTACAAATGACTGCAAACACTCCAAATCTTTAATCGGTTCTTGTTGTGTAGTTACCCAGTTAGCACTGTCACATGCATTGCTGCTTAGCGTGCCTATCACAACATTTGCTTTTTCCGGGTGATATTTTATATCCAAAATCATAATCTTTGAAAAGCTCAAGTCTTCTCCATTGTCTTAAATTCACTTTCTTTTGTATAAATATACACTTCAAGCTTTGGTGATCAGTGAATATTTCACACCTGGCACCATACAATTAATTCCTCCATATCTTTAAAGCAAATTCAACTGCTGCTAGCTCCATATCATGTATCGGGTAATTCTTCTCATAAGTTTTTAGCAGTCTAGAGGCACAAGCAATTACCTTCTCGTATCACATAAGCACACGTCCATGTCCCCTTAAAGATGCATTTCACTATAGAGCTAGAAGCCTTCTATTCCTGAGGGGATAATCAATGATGGAGCTGTCATTGAACATTTTAACTTTTGGAAAGCTTGTTCGCAGCAACCTGTCCACTTAAATTTCTAAGACTTGAGTCAGTATGTACAAAGGCATTGCCCTGAGAAGGCTTTGCTCCATAAACAAAATTCAGACATTGATAAGTTGACATATAATCGGTTCTCTTTCAATATCTAGAGAACAATGCGAAATTGATTTGCATGATGAGCTTCGTAACTGGATTAGATTAGAATGTCGTCGATGAAGACTATCACAAAGTTATTCAGAAATGGTTTAAAGATTCTGCTCATCAGATCGATAAAGACTACAGATGCATTTGACAATCTCAAAGGTATTACCACAAACTCATAATGGCCGTATTTAATGATGAAGACTGTCTTTGTTATATTGACCTTTTTAATTCTTAACTGGTGATAACCTGACCTTAGATCAATCTTGAAAAATATAGAGACCCCTTCCGACTGATCAAAAGAGATTATCACTCCTTGATAAAGGATACTTGCATTTTGATTATAAGATTGTTTAATTCACGATAATAAATGCAAAGCTTTAAGCTCCCATCTTTCCTCTTAACAAAAAGCACTGAAGTTCTTTGAGGAGAAGTGGTTGGCCTGATAAATTCCTTCTCCAATAAATCATGTAGTTGGCTCTTTAATTCTTGCAACTCCTTGATTACCATCCTATAATGTGCTTTTACCATTTTTTTTGCACCAAGTATTACATCAACAGAGAAATAAATCTCTCTTATTCTAGGCAAATTTGACAAGTCATCTAAGAATACCTAAGGTACTCCTTTATTACTGTTATATCCTCCAACCTCTTAGGTTCTTACTCCATATTGATGATTTGAGCTAAGAAGCCTCGGGTACCTTTTTGCTAACAATTTGCATGCCTTCAAACTGGATATCATCATTAATAGGAGTCCTTTATCGCCCATAAATTTGAATTCTTCTTTTCCAGAGATATTAAAATTGAATATCTTTTTAGAGAAATTAATAGCTATAGAGTGATTAGATCGTCAATCCATCCCTAGAATTACTTTGAATTCGGTTAGTGGTAATACTGTCAAATTCATCTTGAAACTTCTATCACAGATGGTTAGATTGGCATGGGAACTTTTATTAACTATTATACAAGATCCATTTGGCAGAAGAACTGAAGAGACGTCAGGCACCCTGAATGATTCCAATCCTTCGGTATGTCACAAATTTTTCAGAGGTATCTGAATGCGATGCCTAATGTCAAATAATGTTCTCACCAATTTGTTTTAGATGCATGCAAAACCTATAATAAGGAGAGTATAAAAGTCTCCAAATAAATAAAGATTTGATAGATTTACTGAAATAAATAAATATTTGTAATGGCTTCAAGTGAATCCTTTGCTTCCTACTGAGTCAGTGCACATACTTTAGAGTGTACACCTTGATAGGTCTGACTTAGAGTTGAAGCTAATCCTGACAAGTCAGTTGGCCTTTATCTACCAAACATCATCTGAGTTTGTGGAGCACTAACTCTAGCATCAACATGGGGTCTCTGGCCTAAGTTAGAACACGACCTCGCCATTTTTCTTGGTTGATGGCTCCAAAAATGTGTTGGTGCCTAACAAGCATTCTCCTCTATGCCTGCCCACACTTGGCTTAGACGGTTATACTGCTGCTGCTGCAAGAGCCACTACCTGTGCCAACTGAGTCACGAGTCCTCAAACTAAACAGCTCAGATTGGACAGACTGGGTGGCCTGTCCCGATATGGACCTATCATCTCCTCTTCTCTTCTGAAAATCTCTACGCCTTTGTGTAGCCAGTAGATTAATCTCCATCGTTCTCGCCCTTTTCATCAAAATAGAGTAATCCTCAAGGCCTTGAGGGATTAAATGCTATCAGCTGTTCCTCATCATTAGGGATTAACTGAGGTGCATACCTAGATATCATCGTAAACTCAGGCTCCGTTTGGGGCAGCTTATCCGCTGCAGCGTCGTTCTGAAAATACCACTTCTCCGTTTGGAAATTGCGTTTGAACAACTTATCCAAAGATGCAGTTGGTTTTCTTACACTAAATGCGGAACGTGAGTTAAACCCCCGTGGTCCGCGTTTTCAGATAAGCGGCTTATCTAAATTAGCGCAAGCTCCCCCAAATGCACCCTCAGTCTTGTACTGCATGACAGAATCGTCATCTTCCAACAACTTGATGAATTGGTTCGACATTTGCCCCCCGTCTGAGAGAGGAACAATATAATCACGAAAAGTCCTTACAAAATTCTCCTGCAAAACCTAATCGTTGGGTCATCCTCTAAATTTCTTCTGAAGCTGTTCTTGCCACCACCTTTGCTTTCTTTTCGAAAGGAAAAAAAAAAAAGACCAATGTGACCTTTTCATGAGAGTAGGACAAACCCTCAATGCTTTTCTCTATCCGGTCAGTTATCTGCCTCAACAGGCCCTCCTGCTTCTGAAAATAGTAGTGTTCACATGTCTTGGTGCAATTTCAAATATTTATTCATCTGTGTCATTCTACTTGCACTAGCCTGGGTCTAAGCACCATGAATCAGTTGTGTCATTGCGACCATCATCTGAGTAAATGCCTCCATAGGGACGCCAACACCACCACTACATGAAGAATCAGTATATGTTGGAGGTACTAGATTCTGCTGATCAACAGTTCTTGCCCCTTTATTTTTTCCTTTTGTATCCTTCAGATTAATATCAATTGCGTTTAGATACCAAATTTTTTAATTATTAACATAACATTTCAATTACTGTTTAATTTTCTTAATGATTATCAATGATTTTTCTAATTACTCTTTTATGATCACTGTCTTACTATTCTCAACTGAGCTTTGATACCACTCTTATCACAACCCGATCAAGGAGCATGGAATTACTAAGGCTGGAATTGTCGGTCGGACGAAGGAAAACTATCTGTTAGTTTTATTTAATTATGAAATACAAAATACAGAAGAGTAATTCTATTTATAAAATTTAAAGATACAACTAGTTCATACGGATTTTTAAATATTTACAACTAACAAAATAAAACTAACACAATAACTATTATCATGCGCTCCACGACGTCTGTACACATGCTCTCTAGGGTCCATTTAGTTTACAACTGATTATCTTGTAAAATGTTAGCAAGTAAAGGTTTGAGTTAAAATTAGTTAGTGGATAAATTTATATAAATTACAATAATTCTCATTTTTAAAATGTTTTGTCAAAATTACAGTAATTAGTAAAAGAACCTTGCAGTAAAATGAAGCAGTCAATAAATCCATTTTTTTCATTTATTTATTTTGTATTTTTCGTTATTGAGAGTCACCGTCTAAATGCATACTAAAAAAATATATGTTTAAACTTTTTCAACCCACAATAAAGGTAGAAAATCATTTCCATTTTCACGTTCGTGCACGGGTACATTACATTCCTCTGTCAGTACCATTCAATGATGACTTTCATATGCATGCATATATTATATTTATTTCTTTTTTTTGCATTTAGCATGTAAAATAAACATGCACTTTTGAATTTTTAAAAGAAATACTAGAAAACAGTAAGAAACATTTTTAAAGAAACAAAACTATTGTAAAATAAAAACACATTTACTCATCTGTACTATCAGTTGACCGTCCTTTTCCCTTAGGTGAAACTAGTTCTTAGGTGCACCTATAGTCACAATCTATATATAATTATTATTTGTTCAAGCTAATCTGCTTTCCCATTAATTATAGATTATTATTATTAGTATTTTCATAAATTATTTATTTTATTAGCTATTAATTTAGTTATGTAAATATTTACATATGCCTATATAAATATAGTTGCCCAAATTTCTTTTTTTTTGCATATACTTTTACTTTTCGAAACTTATTTTAACATGCTTAACTCGAAACACTTTAATTTGACTTTTAAACATAATTTAATTATATAAAGAATAATTAAACATTTAATTTAAGCTTCATAGTTGAATTCCTTCCTACAACAAAATTCTCTTTTTTTCAGCTTTAGTCTTCTCCCTAATTACCTTTAAACAATTATTAACAAAATTGAAATCAATTTAATATAAAGTTTCCGAAATTTCATTTTAATTAATTAAGATTAATAACCTAAAATAATTTAATAGTTAACCTTTTTCGAACCTCTATCTTGCCCTAATAATTTTGAATGAAGCAAGTAAGCTTCGGTTGAATGACCTTACAATCCACACGATCACTCCTCCATTTCACTTGAGTAACTGGTAGGAAGCCACGCTTGCAATAAAGCTCTCACGAGCTGTCTTTTGCTTCTAAACCCCAAAAATGACCTGGGATTGCCCTTCTTTGTGCGTGAAAGTGATTATAGGAGTCCTTACTTCTCTTGGAGTTCTCGGTCGAGGTTCTTACGCACGGAGACTTGCGTAAATGGGGAAAAGTTGCTCAGCTCTCCTTCTCCCTCAGAGCTGGTCGAAATTGCTGAGGAATGTTTGCCTTTTGTCGTTCGCTGCCTCTTATTTTTTCTTCTGCACGCTTTAGGGCATGTGACCCTCGGTTTGCTCAGTAGAGGTGCAAGAAGACTTGGTCGAGCTCTTCTGCAGCTCTTTGGTAACCCCTCTTCTTTCTTTATCTTCTGTCATTCACATCCTCATTGTCTTTCTCAAGTTTTTCTCTCTCTCTTTCTCTATTGCTTTCTCTATTGAGTTCAAATTGGAGGGTAAAGAGATAGCCTCTAGTTTTTCTCGAGGTGGGGGTGGGCAAAACGATAGAACGGTGCTTGCGAAACGACACCTAATACATAAATTCATTTTATTTTTAATTTTCTTAAAATTTTAAATTAAGATTATTATTACACTAAAACAATTAAAATCAAGCTACAAGTTTATTTTTCAAAATGATCATACAGAATTTGAGATTTTCTTCAGAGATTACACGTGCACTTAAGTCACTTCCAATAAATATTCTTTCATCCTTAGGTGTTTGTTAAAATTTCTCAATTTTCTCAAAATTGGTTTTCAAACTTTTTCTAACATAACTCGAAGATTCATAAGTGCTAATTATAATTTTAATTTCATTATTGGTATTTTAACTCAAAAAATAATCCCCCAATCATTAATATCATTGACCTCAACAATTTTCTCTTTAAACTCTTTATATATTATTATGCCTCTCTCATTTCTATTGTCGATCTTTCAATTAAATATTACTCATACCTTCTCCGATGATCCTAGTTTCACCCATTGGTATTTACGTTCCTGCAAATACATAGTATTGATTCTTCTTTTAGTCATCAGGTTGATTAAGTACCCTTTGTTCATTTGAAAACCTCAAAACTCCAAATAACAAATCTTAGCTTCATATTCACTTTTTACTACTTTTACGTTAAGAAGTGTCATTCCATTTATGGGTGAGCATCCAAGCCAACGCTTTAATAGTTATCCGACACCACTGAATTTGTTGTGGTACATTTGTCTAGTGGATGTCTCTACAAACCCTTGCCTATTCCTCTCAAAAACTCCACGGTTAGGTTAGGTTGTGGCATGTAGTTTTTAGAAATACCTAATACTTTTAAAATTCTAGTTAGAATTTATTTAACAAATTTAGGTATAAGTTTTAAAATTAGTTGTTATTCTAACATTAACTCTTAATCAGAATTGCAATGGAAGTTTTGGTTCAATTTTTATAATAGCTTCTTTTAATGAAAACATTAATGTGTAAGACAATCTAGAAACATTATTTTATTAGAGACTCCAAGCTCGGCTCTTTTCCTTGATAATTTTTAACTTGATGGTCCATGTTAATTGGATTTTGTTGAAGCATGTAGTATGAAATTAACAAAGTTTTAAAGTGAAAATCTCATTTATCATTTTCAAATGTATAGTTTTCTTGAAGAAGTTTATAGTCTATTTCTGATATTTCAAAATGTTATCACAGATTGGCAACAGGATTACAAGTAAGCGTGTCAATCAATTGCTTGATTCTTGCTCTCCATTTGTGTATATCTTTGTAGACAAGCATCCCAACCGGCAGGATCCTTCTCATCTTGTCACACATCGGGTTCAGTGCAGCATTATTGAATTTACTGATATTGTCTTGGCACAAAAATCCCCAAGAAGAGGGAGAAGGTGGAGTCTCTTTTTAAAGGAACTAAATCTGATGGTAAGCTCTTAAAATTTTTTTGAAGCTGTTTTGGTCAAAAAACCTTTTAATTTCTATGTAAAATGCACAGTACATGAACATGTGGTGAAGAGTGTGTAAATTTTTCTATCACAATTTTGCATTTATTGATCTCATGCCATCTTTTAATTTTTGCCTCTTCTTCTCTATGACTAATTATGAGGAGTAATACTAGTTTTCTACACATATCATCTCTTATGCATGTTACGGTGGATAGCAACACCTATGTGTTGATCTGAAAATTCACTGTTCTTGTGCTTCTGTCAATTGCTGTCCAAGGAGAATGTATAAAAATGATGAAGGTAGTTTGACAACTAATTTTATGCTGAATAAACTATCAATATTACTATTTGTCCTGAATGTGTTAGGAAATATCAATTGATTGCGTTCCCTTCTCTTACATGTTATTAGTTCTTAGTTCCATTTATGCGGGATAAATCAGTGTGGGATTCCAAAATCCTAGTTCCGCGGGATCTCACAGTTCCGTGAATTGTGTAATAGCACTTATGCGGGATGCATGAGAGATGAAATTTTCTATCCCATTATTGCGGTAGCAGGATTGCCCGCTAATATGTTGTCGTGAGGCCATTGTGCGCCATTTTTTTACTAATTTTAATTAGAGTTAGGGTTATCTTGAGAGAAAACTATTTATATGTTGTTTTTTTTTGGTTTGAGGTCTTTTTGCATTGGTTTTGTGTATTTAAAGATTTTTTTCTCTAGTTTGTTTCTCCAAAGAGTGTTGTATCCTCTTCTGTTTGCAAGCGGTGTATCTGTAGCTTGCTCTGGAGCAAGTGCGAGATCTCCTTTTGAAAATATGCCTCATCAGAGCCTATGTTTCATGGTTCTTTCGGCTATCTTCTGTTCGGACCGTCGTTGAACGCCTCATATCTCATTCCAAATGCTATGGACCTCGTTTAGTATCACTCTTTATCTATCCTCTAGACCGCTTACTAAGCACCGTCTATGAGCTGGACCTCGTTTAGTATCACTCTTTATCTATTCGCCGACTATATTTCCTCTAGACCGCTTACTAAGCACCGTCTATGAGCTTTAGAACAATGTCTTTTGGAATCAAAGCCCGTCAAACCTTAACTTTTTAAGGATTTGTCTTTTTTGCTCCTAAACCAAAATTCCATTAAACTTAGGGTCTGTTTGGGGCAGCTGCAGCTTATTGAATAATCTGCTGGTAAACTGATTAAAAATAATCTGTTAATAAGCTAGGTGCGGTAGCTATTACAAATTTTTATTTTTTTTGGAAAAGCCAGGCCGCAATCAGAAAGCTGCCACCGCACCTAGACAGGTGCGGTGTGAAAACGCTGTTTTCAGCGTTTTGAAAACGCTAAGCTGTCGAAATGCAGTTTACCCAAACAGGTAATGTGCGTTTTCAAAACGCCACCGCACCAAATAAGCTGCCCCAAACAGACCCTTAACCTAATACTCCATCACAAAAAAAAAACCCGCACCACTCACCTATTTCTAAACCTACCTTAATCCTAACCCATATTTTCTTTTTTTTCAACAGAAATTTAAGTTTGAAGAACAAGATGTGTGATGCATCCAAATAGTAAACCCTAAATGAGCTGTTCAAAAAATTATCATGGAGGACTTGCAACGGAAAACCTTTCAACTACAACATTAGCTTGTTTTCTTTGTGAGAAAATAACTTTGTGAAGTCAGCCATGCCACAATGGTGACTCACCGGATCGAAAGGAGGAATTGAATCTCTTTCACCATGAAGTTTCCAGTGATGAACCAATATCCTAATGATTTGACATAAAATATCAGAAAAGTTATAATTTTGGATAGAAAGATTGAATTGTTAGATTTTGACAGATACGTGGATCTGGATAATTTTGTTTAGTGGCCTCAAATAATAGAACATATTTTTGAATATGAAAATTTTCCTGTGGATGATTAGATTGACAATCATCAAACTTAGGGTGAATGTTTTCTTGTGATGGGAGAACCTGAAGCATCTTCAACAGGTACAAGAAAAAAGTAAGTTCATCATATGGTCCATGTTGAAAAGGGTGATGCAACGCATTTATCTTTCATCGCATAATCAGTAGAATAAGTTCTTAAAACTCTACAATTTTCATTAGAGAGATTCTTTTGTGGATGAATATATCTCTGAATTTGATCGACTCATGCTAAAATATAAGTTGGTAGAATCAGATGAGCATACAGTGGGGTCATATCTAAAAGGATTGAAATCATCTATGAGTAATGTGATACTGTTGCTCCCTATTCTAGATACATACCCTAGCTTTGAGGTGAGGTAGCAACGTCATTAGGTGACCACCACACTTTATAAACAGAGCTCAACCCTAGGATCAAATAGTAAATGCACACCTATTGGCACTCAATCTACCCCTCACTAGGAGAAATTAGTCCAGGGTGGCGAAAAGATGGAGATCAACAGTACTCCCAAAGTTGTCCCAGCTAAGAATTGTTTTAAGTGCCATGGTTTTCGACACATTTTGTTCAACTGCCGGTCATATTTTTTTACTGAGCAAGGAGCAGTTAATGAAATGAACAGTGATATATAGGAGAGAATGAGAATGTCAGAGATGAGTATCAACTTTCAGCCAATGAGGAAAAAATGCTAGGCATTTGAGTGGTCCTTCAGACAGAGCTCATGAGAGAGCAACATTGGCTCTGCTACAACATTTTTCCTATTCGTTGCACCGTTGAGTGAAATATGTGCAGTTTGATCATAGATAGAGGTAGTGTTGAAAATGTGATATCTACATAGATAGCGAACAAGTCTCACTACCCATAAGTATTCTTAATAATATTCCTTGACTTGTTTGAAGAAGGGGAATAAGATCTTTGTTGCCAAGAGATATTTGATAGAATTTTTATTTGGAGGCAAGCTGTAAGATCATGTTTGGTGCGATGCCATGCCTATTATCTCATTAACTTGAGCCGACCATGGCAGTATAACCGGCGTATACTTCATGATGGCTATAAGAACACTTAATTTTTAAGGATGGGCAGCATATTTTACTCATGTTGTTGAGGTAGTCAGCAATGATGGATTCTCGGACAAATATAGAAATTTTTGTGCCCTGTGCCACAATTCTAAAGTCTACGAGAAAGGAAACTGTGAGATTAACCTTGGTGATGCTAAAAGGCATTGACATGAATGAGCCAATACCTAAGGCAATGCACCCATACTAGAGGATTTTTAGGATTTTATGATATACAGTTTATCTCTTAGGTTACCACTACCGAGGGAGGTCCAACATATAATTTAAGTTTTAGATGAAAAAGTTTTAAGCTATTTCTAAAAGATTAAGTAGTAAGTTGGGTACTAAGTTCCAATTCAATTGAGCAACACACCCATAGACAGATGGTATACAGGTAGGGCTATCAAAAAAGCTCGTTGTTCGCGAACAGTTCGTGTTCGGTTCGTCAATGAGTTCGTGTTCGATTCGTTCGATAAGTAAACGAGACAAACGCGAACAAATTTTTTTCGTTCGGTTAGTTAAACGAACCAAACACGAACAGTGATGCGTTCGTTCGTGTTCGAATCGTTATTGTTTGAAATATAAAATAATATAAAATAATTATATATAAAAAATGTATTATATTTTAAAACATTAAATTTAATAAATTATAATATATAATAAAATAATAATAATAATAATATATTAATATACTACAGTAATATACTAATATAGATATTGAATATTTATATAATATAAGTTATATAATTAATATATAATATTATGAGCTTATTTCAAACAAACTAAATTTTAAACGAACCGAACACGAACACAAGCTTTGTTCGTTCGTGTTCGGTTCGTTTACACCCCTATATACAGGAGTAGTAAATTGAAAATCTCCTTAACTGTTTCGTGGGAATGAAGGAACCATGGGTTTTAAGAGAAGAAGAAGCTTCTAGTAGTTAGGCCATACAGGAGTAGTAATTTGAAAATCTCCTTAATTGTTTCGTGGGAATGAAGGAACCACGGGTTTTAAGAGAAGAAGAAGCTTCTAGTAGTTAGGGAGAATGATGCAGGTTTGTCTCACGTAAGATTCCACAGTTCCATGGATTGTGTGATCTTGCTCATGTTGGATGCACAAGAGGCGGAATTTCATGTCTCGTAGTTGCGGTAGAGAGATTTTTCTGCTAATCTGCCTCCGTCATGCCATTGTGGGTCAAACTTTTATGCTATTTATGTTTATTTTGAGAGGGAACGATTTTTGTTATTTTTTGGTTTGAGGATTTTTTTTTTCTTTGGTTGTGCATTAGGAGATTTATTTCTAGTTTTTTGCTCCAAGGAGTGTTGTATTCTCTTTTTTTTTTGTAAGTTGTGTTTCTAGGTTGCTTGGGAAAAGGTGGTGGATCTCCCTAGACAACCATGCCTCATTGGAGCTGGCATTTCGTGGTTCTCTGCTGTTTTCAGTCCGGGCTGCCACCAAATGCCTCATGTTCCCTTCCAAACGCCGCCAGACCTTGCATATTGTCACTCTCTTGCCATTCCTCAATTACCTCCTCACTAGATCTGCTTAATAAACATCGTCCAGGAGCCCTAGAGGTGTCATTCCTCTAGAAGTTTTATAATAACTTTTTCTCCCTGCTTTCTCAAGAAAACATGATATTTGATTTTAATATGGTTTATTATGCTTGCTGGAAAATCTATGATTTGCTGATCTTATTTAATTTATATTAAATGACTAATTTAGATATTTATGCCTCAGTTATCTAGTCAGCTATGATCTCTATAATTTATTATTTTTATTGGTCAGTAATGGGCTCATGTTCTATTTCTACTGAATTGTAGGACTTGAACTTCTAAGAGTTTTTGTTTCTGGTAAATGTTTATCAATTGCTAAGATTTTTAAAGTTAAAAGTTAATGATTGCTGTCATTGTTCTCCATCCTTTGTATCTGATGTATCTTTTAATTTGTTTAGGTTGCAAGGGAGATATCATTTCAAATATATTCTGAAAGCTCTTTGACAGAGCCATTTGTTGCACATCTCCTTGGGGAAGTCCTTGAAGGTGATACTGCATTATTTATTGGGAATAGCATGGTCATACGGGATTTGGATATGTATGGAAAGGGCTGGCTAAAACCTTACAGCAGTTCTTTTCTACATGAAAGAAGTTGCAGTCTGGCATTCCTGCGGGTATCTGGAAACAGGGGAGCTAGTGGTATTGATGGTCTTCTTAGCAGTTCCATCGGTTTTGCAGTAGGAAGCAAAAAACGTGTAAGAATTTTTATTAATTACGACCCATGCGTTTTGGATGGTTTTCAAAGAGCAATAGTACTCTAGAAAACACGAATAGGAAGAAATTTCCTTTATTTTTTATATAATGTATTTGATGCGAGATGCTATAGACCAATCTAGGAATGAAATAAAAAATTATATCCAACTAAACAAATAGATACATTTTTTAAAAATAGATTTTGTATATCTTTGCCATGAATGTATGAGATACTAATTTTCTTTCTTCTCATGAATATATGAAATCTTGATTTAAATCTTTTTCTTTTATCTGGGTATTCCAAAAAAGGATCTATAATATTTACATGCTTTTCACCATCAAGATGGTGTGTAGATATGTTCCATTACCAACTAGCCAATAATCTCCTAAAATTGTGCATTGTTGAATCCGTTTTCAAAGATATCCACTAGTTGATATCTTGCAAATGCACATGGCATAAAATCGGATTAGATTATTTTTATTTATAAAATATCTATCTCAATATGCTTTGTTCTATCATACTACATAGGTTTTTGTGCAATATATGTTGCTAACTTTTTATCACGACAGACTCTTAGGTTTTTCCCACTCAATTTTTAGATTTTAAAAGAAGATATTTAAACCACATTGACTCATGTAATGGTTGTGCAATTTCTCTGACTTTCTTATTTATGGGAGATTGCTACTTTTTTTTTTCCATGTGAGACAATTGCCTCTAAGAAAGGTGCAATTTGTTGAGGTGGATTTCGTCTGAATGGGAATCTACATAGTCAGCATATGTGCAGGTGATATCATTCTATGGCTTCTAGAAGGTATTTAAGAACACAAGAAAAGGGTAGGTAAGTTTTTGGATGGATAAGGAAGGCGGGCTGACATTGATTGATAATTGGGCACGAACAACAGGATGAAAGCGAATCAAAGGATGAATACGTCTATTTTCTGCTATCATAAAAATGTCATAAATTGAATGAAGGAAAAAGCCTTCGAACATCTGGGAGAAATCACCACTTTGATCCTATCAGACTACAGACACATCACCTGTAAGAAATCTAAAGATATAACACTCCAATAGGGAGAATCAAGTGAAAATATCTCCAAATAATATAAACAAAGTCAAAGCCCCTTCAAAATAAAAAAAAAGAACATATAAATAGTTCCTCCTAAAAAATAACCCTAATTCAAAATAATTATCATAAAAAGTGGGCCCATAGTGGCCTTGCTACAATAACTTAGCGTGAAAATCCCACTACCTTACGGGACAGAAATCAAGTCTCCCATGCATCTCTAGATCAGAAGATTGCTTGGTCGATTCTTGTAATCGTGGAATCCTGATAATCAAAGGATTCAGATCCCGCTCATTTTCACCAAGCACACCTCCGACATCTACTTTTCTCACCTATGTTTGCGTCTTAGGCCCTTACGAGTGCCTGTGTCATGCTCTAAGTAGGAGGGACTTCACATTCTTCCCTTAAAACTTTTAGAATTGATCCATCACTATTATAATAAAGTTACCACATTGCTTTGTCTGTGGCAATCCTATTATAAAATCTATGCTCATGTCCATTTTATGCAACACTAAATTACATGTCATCCGAAAGTCTATCGTGATAGAATATGTAGCCAACTTTCTCGGGCATAACAGTGCTGGAATTGCATATAGACGAGTATTCTTATGAATCAATCATTGATTCATTAAATCTATAACTTGCTTCACGTACTCCTCGTACTCGCTTTGGTGCATTCGATGAATAAATCAATCTGGAGGAATCGACTAGAACAAAATATTTGGCAGTCTGGACCACTCTCAATGACAACCACTCAAGTGGTAAACAATTGGTCAAGATATTCAACTTTCTATCATACTGCATAGGTAAACAGTTCGAGGAGCTCATACCAAAATTATAGAACTATTAAAATTTAGGGTTTGTTGGGCTTTGATATCAAATAATACCGTTCTAAGGCTCCTAGAAGGTATTTGAGAACACTAGAAAGGTATAGTTAAGTTGTTGGATGGGTAAGGAAAGGGGGAAGATGGATGTCAGTTTATAATCAAGCGTGAACGGCGGGATGACGGTGAATCGAAAGCGGAAAAGAACTATTTTCTGTTGTCAAACAGCAATAGGTAATAAATTAGACGATGAAGGAGGCATCCGAACCTCCCGAATAGATCACAACTTAGATTTTATCAAGCTACAGTCACATAATCTGAAAGCAAATTAAAGATACAACACCCTGATAAGAAAAATCAAGAGAAAACATATCCAAATAACATAAATAAAGTCAACGTCGTTTCAAAATTAAAATACAAATATATAAATAGTTCCTCCCAAAAAATTTGCCTAATTGAAAAGAAGTAATACAAAATATTGGCCCACGATGGGCTGGCGACAGCAGTTTAGCGAGAAAATCTTGCTACATTAATTATGGGACAAAAACCTCAGTCTCTTGAGCTAGCATCTCGGGATTGGATGGCTGCTCGGTTCATTTTCACAGTTGTGGAATGTCGACAATCACAGTATCCCGCAATCATGGGATTCAGATCCCTCGACTAATTTATGCCAAGCACAATTCCGCTGTCTCCTTCCCTTGCATATGCTCACGTCTTAGGTCTGTACGAGAGTGTTTTTGCGTGAGTAGTCTTAAAGTTTCAAGTTTGTGTTTCTTTTAAACAAAATTATTTTCTCAAAAAAAAAACAAGATATGATAGAGAAAAATTCTTCTTGCAAAATAAATTTGATGGGTAAAAGTTATTTTAGAGAGGTTTCACCTTGATGGGTAAAAGTTAAGGGGCTCTTATCCATGATAGAGAGGTTTCACCTTATAATCTAATGTTTGGTGGAGATCATGACACACCATGATGGGTAAAAGTTAAGGGGCTCTTATCCATGGAAAGCACAACATTCATCAATGTTGTTTATGGCCAAATTTTCATCCGATGTATACATTTCAATCCGTCCAAATCATTCAATGCAAGTTTAATGGAATTATTTTTAATGAATGTTTCCAATTAATCATGCTTGTGATAAGAGGAAGAAGGAAGGCCACATATCTGACAACATTTGCGAGAAGACCATCCCAAGATGTATCAAATTACAATTCTTAAGAAGCTATAAAGTCTATTATTGTAGATAGGCTCTTAAATATCATAGAGCCTATTATTGAATGAGCGTACAACACCTTCTGAAAAACTGCAAGGAAATATCGGATGCTATATAAAGGATCTAGTATAATCTAGGGAATGCAATCCAATATTTTATGATTAAATCTCAAATAAGAAACATCCGGTAGCTTAAAAACAATGCAACAAATAGTTGTTGATGCTTAATTGATTTTTTATTGGAACTGGATCCATTCTATAATGTTGAATGGTGTTGTTCAAGCGATATTGCAAGATATAAACAATGTTGGAGAAATAAGAAGTATTTACTTATTTACTTATTTTTTCGTTTTCTCTTGTTTCTTAACTTCAATCTAGATGAAGTTTGGGGAAGATTAATTGGATTGAGGAATAGCTTACATTTACTGACTTATTTGTTAATGGAGAGGAGAAAACTGAAGGCCAATAATGATAAACTAAGCACCAAATTCATTAGTTATCAATATTTCGGCACTTACTTGAATCATAAAACTAACCGCATATGAAAAGAATAGTGGTCAAAGCTCTTAGGTCAAATTATAGTGGTGGCATGATAACTGTCGTAAACCTTTCCACACCCAAGATCAATGCTAGGATTTACATGTAAAATCAGAAGAGTGGAAGCCTAAAAGTAAAAACGGGATGAACCGTATGGCTTATGTTATGGGTAGAAGTCCAAACATGTCTTTTGGTTTTACATTTTAATAAAATCAAACACTTCGTTAGCTGCTTAATCAACCAAAAAAAAAGGTTGGTGATACTTAAGAAGTAGCGATGACCATGTTATTTAGGGACATAACAAAACTACTAGTTTGATTGTAACCTGCTAGTTCATAAACTTTATGAGTGAAGGTTTATGTGTGGGCTCCAAAAAGTCCGATTGTTCCTCCAGAACTCTGCATTTTAATTTTATTTTGTTTTGAGAAAGCTTTGGAGGGTTAATTTTTCAGAAGACAGATTGGATTATAAATGAGAAACTACCCAGATATTTCATTCTCATTTTTCGAGGATTTTTTTAATTTGGGGTTCAAGGTTTCCCATAGGCATAAACCCCTATGATTAATCACCTCTCTTGATAACAAGAGAGCTTTTTCAATTAAGACTAGCCATTAAAAATTGAATATTCAACATATAATAGCAACCGACTTATAATTAAAATTATAAAATCTATCACTTAAAAGTTAAAGCAGGAAATGTAGACAAGACTCGATCAAGATCCCACGTCTTCATCGTCCCGGGTCGTCATGGTTCTTGATCTACTTAGTCAGAGAAAGTAGTCGACCCATTCTAACTAAAAGATCATTGTCAGCAACTATAAGTTGCGTCGTCCTTGGGGTCTTTATAGATCTGGGTTAAATATTTGTCTAGGAGACAAATTTAAATGAACCTTAACTATTAAAATACTTTATGATAATTAATTGTACCCTTATGATTCACAATTCAAAGGGTAAAAGACCATTGGGGAACATACGGGCTGCGACAATGACTATAATATACTGATGTTATTTGATGATAATCATCCGATCAGAGGGCTCTTTAGGTGAGAGTTATGGAGGACCAACCGGTCCTTAAAAGGAGGGGGGATGCCACTCCATTTCTCTTCTCTCTCCTTCTCATCTTTCCTTCTTAGCACCTTCCTAATATGTCTCTCAAAATCAGTATTTCAAAATATTTTTATTTATTTTTTCTAAATCTAAATTTTCATTATAATCACTTTTCTAAACTGAATTTCCAATGAACAAATTTTGAATTCTTTATTCCTCTTTTCTAATTCTGAAATTTTGAATTGATTTTTCTTTCTTATTTTAAATATTACCAAAAATAAATTCTTACCCTCATTATAAATAGAGGATGATGTGCTTAAAG